TCAATGAGGTTAAATGCTTATAAGGGAGACTGAATCAGCACTGTTACCTTGCGCCAGCTGAGGAATTGGCCCTGAAGGCAGCTGAGACTCCAACTTTTTCAAATACCACAATAGTCAAGGTCTGCTCTTGGCCACGTTTAACACTGCTGTGGAAATGCTTGCTAGAAAAATCTTTCTTTACATTCCAATACTAACGCATTTCCCGATGACATTAAAGACAGCCTGCAAGAGGAGAAAGGCTGGTAGATGCTAACGGTCCCAGGGGCATTAGAGCACTGTAGATAAAACTGCTTTTTGCCAATTTTTACCTTGAAGGCAGTCCCTCACTGCTCCTCTTTCCTTCCAACACCTACTGTACCCATGACACCTTATCTGTGGCGGTACTCTTGGGTAGAAATCTTACAGAAACATGGGATCTGGGGTTTTCAGAGAAGACAACAGGATATGGGCATAAACTCCCTTTAATGAGATCCTTTTTGGTATGCGCTGCTTCTCACCAAGCTTCCCTGAAATAAAAACACTTTGCAGAAGGTGTTACTGCTCCTTATTAAGTCTCTTTTGGGTTATTCAATGTAAATTTGATGCTGAGCAGGAGAGGTTCTTGGAGACATCACCTCCTACCAACCCCTGGCCACAAAGCTTTCTCCAAGAAGGACCACCTGATGTGATGAAAGCAGCAGAACTGTTTGCTTTCTGCTCCTATGCATACAATGGTGAGATTGAATATTCAGCTCTGGTTTAGCTGCTGCACAAGTAAATAGCCTGGACACTTAATTACTGCAGCACATTGGCCTGGAAAGCAGCACGAGCTGCTTTCTGGCTGGGACACAACCAACTTTGCAATAAAAAGCACTGGAGAGAAGCAGGAAAGCAGAGGACAGGGACTGGGAAATAACAGCAAATTGGCCTCTCTGCACCACCAACTGCTTCCAGAGCACTCAAAAACCAGCAACAGAGCCCCCACACCTCCCAGAGCACCGCTGTACCTGGTTCATGGCCTTGCTTCCACCGTCTCTCCAGGAAAAACCTCTTGGATCCACACACTGCTTCATAGACTTGCCAACAACCAGGACCAAGAAAGGGAAACTGGCTGCCCCCCTCCTCTGATAACCACGATGGGCACGTTCCTCAGCTGGCATCAATCAGCCTAACCAGTGACTCTGGTGCACAGCTTCACCTGGGGGCTGCCTGTCCCCAAAGCTCATGCAAAGGGAGGGTTGGAGCTATCTGCCAGCTGGGGGGTGTTTGCGGTTCAGGCAGAGCCCGGTCGGCAGCTGAGCTGCCACACAAGTTGTGCTGAAGACTTCTGTGAGCACTGCAGAAAAAATGATGGCTCTCTGTGCTCCGACGTAAAAGTGACACCCCATTAGACAGTCTGGGGCTTCAGGGCTCCCAGCAGAAATTCAACCACAACTTTCCATTTTCCATACAGAAATTCAAAAAGAAACAACTTTTTTTTTTTTTCTTTCCTTTTTGGAAAGCAACTGCTTGGGTGAGCAATGATTTTATTGTGCTATTAATATGATCATAAACAAGAACAACATTTGTTTGTAGGCTCAAGTGCTTCATTACTCACTCGCTGACTTGGTAAAAATCTCCGTGGCATCAGTATAAAGTGCAAAATGGAGCAGATCATTGTAGTCGTGTTATAAAATCATCTGGGCAGGTGACCTTTGATCAAAGGCAATTGATAGCTCCGAGGCAGCTGTACAACAAGAGTAAAGGTAATAGTTGTCCACAAGCCACCAGACCTGTAGGAGAGCAGATACGCACCATGCCTGGGAAGGGGAGACAGCACCAAGGGGACTGAGAGAGGTTTGGGAAAAAGGAGAAAAAGTTGATTTCCAAAGAGCATCTGTGAATCAGCCTTGTTTGGGGCTGGGCTGGGGCAGGGAGCGGTGGCGGTGGCGGCGGTGCTGTCAGCGCAGCCCGGGCAGGGTCCGGCCAGAGGCAGCTCCTGCTCGCTGGTGGGAGCCAGGCAGAGCAGGACAGCGGGCGCCACCTGGGAAACCCGTAACCTCCAGATCAGCCGGGGGGTCTACTTCTCCAGAACCTCGGGTTTGGGTCCAATCTCCTCCATTTCTGTCACCCCAACCACTCAAACTCCTGCGAGCATGCGGGGCGAGCTGGGCTGTGCGACCAAGTGCCCGGAGGCTGTAGGGGCAGGAATGAGGGTGTAGCATGAGGTGGGAAGACCCAAACTTTCCCGTGTTTTTTCTTCACACCTATTGGGGCAAATGCTCCTCTTTGCCATGTAATGAGGGGTACAAAGGGATGTGGACCCCTGAGGGGAGGTCTTCAAAATGGCGGGTTGGGATGGTAATGGCTGGAAGGTGCATGGGTCCCCCAGATGTGGCTGCTGCAAGGCTGGGACCTGCACAGGGTGAGGTTCCCGGGGTGCTGGCGCCTCGGGGGGTGCAAGGACCAGGAGGAAAGGAAGCCTTCCCTCTCCCGTGGGGCTGCGCAGACGGCGCTGCCTCTCCTGTTAGGGCTGACCAGGAGAGAGAGGTCCACGGGGATGGTTCCTGCCTTGGGGATGGGAGCGAGAGGTTGGAAGACACCCCCGAGAAATGAAAAACCAGCGTTGTGGATGGTGCCGTCCAGTGAGTGCAGGGAGCGAGCAGGAAGGAAAAATTACACACGTCCCGGTTGTTTCACTTCTTGTCCCTCTGCCTCGTTTCGTCAGCCACCAGCCCCCGGAGCATCGCGCCGCCCGGTCGACGGTTACCAACAGGCAATAAATAACATTGCTGGAGCCACTGGTGTCAACATCTTGGCATTGTTTGGGTCTTCTTGTTTGCCTTTAAAATAACTCTCCCCTTTGGGGTCACGCAGACAAAAAAGCGAGGACCCCCTGCCATCGTCCGTAGAAATCATCTTGCCACGACTTGTGTTGCGCTGCCTTTTTTTTTTTTTTGCCTGCAAAGTTTGGGGTTTGGGGAGCTGCCCGGGGGCGTTACTCACGCTACGCCCCGGGCTCCTGCTCCTGACACGTCACCTCGGGCGCCTGCAGGTCGCCAAAGCCCGGGCCACATCACCCATTCTCCTGACTCCCAGAGGCACAGTTTGGGCTGGATTTGGGGACGGTGTCACCCCGCCAGCCCCATGCTGCTGGCTTATCTGCTGCACGGCTGTGCCCAGCTCTGCTGCGCATGTTGGCAGGCCAGAGAGTGGAAAAACAAACGGTGGAGACGTGGATCCCGCGGTGAGAGCCTGGCCGTGCAAACACGGTGTGCCACTGCCGAGCCTGGAGCGGGAGGGATGGATGCCCCTCCGTGACAGCCCCCACCCCGGCACTGGAGCCTGGCATGACGCAAGCTCCCAGTGAAACTCTGGAGGCACAAGAAATACTCCTCTAAAGACAGTTTTCATCCATGGGCTTTGATAAAATGGTGGCTTGAACCTCTCCGTGCCCACATAGGGCTGCGTTGAGGGACCAGCCGCTGAGCTATGGCAACACTTGGAGGGGACCGATGCTCCCCAGTGACTGGAGCATCTCCTTTCCTCCAGCAAGGGTTGCATGGTGGAAAGCATCATCCTCAATCCTCCATCGCGACTCGATGCCAGATTCACTCTCCCTGATCATCTTTAGTTTGTTGTTTATAATAAAAATCAAGCGATCCATCTCTTCTGACAAGAGGAAGAGTTGCTCCAGGAAGGCCTGGACAGGTCAACTTCTATATTAAGGAACTATTACTTGACAGCTTCCTGGCCATAAATAGCTGTCCAGCCAGGCTGGGGATTTTATTTAGAAATAACAAATAAAACAGGCCGTAGAAGTAACTTAATGACCTTGCTCCCCCTTCATTTCCCACCCAGCTCCCTGCCTCGGTATGGTCTTCTCCTCACCCCCAGGCTCCTCGGGAGCTTCAGGGCCCCCTTGCATGCCCTCAGCAGAGCACGTCTCCCCATGGCCCTCCTCTCCGAGAAGCCGTAGAGACGCACTGTTGCCAGCTTTTGGAAGCGTGATGTGGGTTTTACATCACTGATGATCTTTTGCTACAGCTCAGCTCCCAGAAATTGTTTTCTACTTGGCTTTCATTAAAATAATTTAAAAGGAATCTCTGCCCTGCATGGCTGAAAGCTGGAAGTCCTCCATTCAAAACATCCCCCAAACTGGATGCAAACAAGTATACCTCCAACACATCCTTTATTTTTCAGTCCCTCGAACCTTTCTCTTAACTTTTGGAGGACTAACTTTGGATTTTCTAATGCTCCGAGTTGGCAATATCAAAACCAATCAGGAAATACAAAAGAAAAACAGCATTTCGGTATTCTTTTATTATTGGGAGGTTTTGCCCATTTTTGTCATGTGGTTTGCCTAAAATAATAATAAAAAAAATCTTTCTTTGGAGCTGGAAAGGGAAGAGCAGCGTGTTTATTTCATGTATGACTCATCAGCTCAGTGTCGATACGCTAAACGCTTCAGAAGCTAACACTCTATAGAGAGATGATCATTTTTAATATAAAACAGTAAATGTTTAAAACAGCCGTTGCCTTTTTTTTTTTTCCTCTTTTCTTCCTGTTGTGGCCAATAAAACATAAGGGAGGCCACACAGTTTACATTTTAATAAAATTAAGTTATTTGGTGCCATGTTATTACAGTCTTTATTGGAAAGTGGAATAAATTGCACACAGAGGAGTCATAGGAGGGAGAAATCATTGCGAATAAACATAGATTCTGGGATGCATTTATTTGCTGGTTTCATCTCAAAGGAGGAAGGCTTTCCTCTGGAAAACGGAGGCGGCCCCGGGGCTCTGGCCTCGGGGAGGCAACCCTGGGTCGCTCTGGCTGAGGACGAGCTGTTTGGGGAGCCGGTGCCACAGCGGGGCCATCCCGGCCCCATCCAGCCAACGTTTTCCACGCGCGTCCTCCAAGAGAAACCTGTCCTGTGGCCGCGGCTCGACACCCCGCGGCCCCGAAGCGCTGGGGGCAGCCCGTCCTCCTGCCCGTCCGCCGTTTGCAGGGCCAGCCGAAAACGTTGGTCCCGAGGCTTTTTGCTGGAGGTTAGGGGGTTTCTAGGCAAGCGCCAGGGCGCACCAGGAGTCCTGCCGGAGCGGCACGCTCAGCCCAGGCTGCGGGGCCATGGTGGTGGGGGAGAAGGTGTAGTCCTCGGGCTCAAATTTGAACTCGCTGTGGCCGCCGGCCAGCGCCTCGTCCGACTGGCTCTGCGCCTGCCCAGGGAGGGGAGAAGAAAGTCATCAGAAAGCCCGTGATCAGCCAACGGGTCGCTCTCCCCCTTGTCATAACGCGGTGGTAGGACTAGGATGGATTTTGAACAGAGTGGGTTATCTCTGATGATGCTGCTGCCCTTCGGGGGAGCCCGGAGCCGGGCAGGAAGGGTGCTCCATCCCCAGCAAGCACAAGGACCAAGAGGGGAGGAGGTATCCCAGGGCCCATCTGCATTGATTTATTGACTAAACATGTCCAGTTCGGAGATCTCTAGGCGCGTGTATATTTTTTAAGAGCACAGCACAAATCAGATTTATCGGTTTCAGCCAAAAAAACCCCACCCCTCTCCCATACAGCGCCGCTGGCGCCGCGCCAGGTGCTCGGGCGCTGGTGCTGAGCTTCCCCTCCGCGCACACGTGGCCAGCTTCGACTCAGCATAAAGATAGTGCTGGGTCACAAAATTTGGATGTGCGGGTTGATTTAGAGCCATTTCCCCCCCCCACCACCAAGACAAAATTGCAACCTGCCCCAAAGAAATCCTCGGGGCAGAAGCGCAGCCCTGCAGTCTGGGGTCTCTGACAGCACTGCAGCTCTGTGAGCCCTGAGCACCTCGGGGCTACAAAGCACAGATAACGTATGCCCAGGGAGCCTTTTCTTGGGAGCTACAGAGGTTTCCACCCTGGGCTGATCCCACCAGCTCGACAGGGTTGTAACTCTCAGGATTTCATGGCAGAAGATGGGAATCTAACTCAGCTCTGAGCCGAAGCCAGTTCACCACCGATCATCTCCGCGGCAGCAGAGCTTGGACCTCCCAGTTCCGCACTGCATGATGGAAGAGCTGATGGGGACGCAACAGGCTGAAGCCCTTCATGGTCTGCAAAGTCCTGGCTCACGTTCCCTGCTTTCCTCAGTCTGAGGCAGTCCATCAGGCTGGTGGCCCCCAATGCAATGAACTAATTGCTTAGCCTCGTCAAGGCCAGTGACTACCGAGGTGTGTGGAGCATCCACCCCGGCAGGCGATGGCTGCGGGCCCCTGTGCCTTACCTGGGACACCGACACAATGGTTTGTCCAGGATATTGCGAGGTCGTGCTGGGCTCTGACTTTAAAGTGACCGTGCTGTCTGAGTTCGTAATGGAAGAAGGGGAGTTAGTGGCCGAAGTCGTAGACCCTGGAAGACAATCGGTACACGACGGTGAAGCAACATGGGTGCAAATCTGCTCTGAAGGAAATTTAAAATTTAATGGCTGCCATCACGTCTCATGGCACGACTTTACTGTTCTCTTTCTCCACCGCATGTCTGTCAGGGTAAAGCTTTGCATTTGGCTGCCAAGATGCTGATGGAGGAGGAGGAGGAGCGGCCTTTCACAGCCTGGCAGTGCTGGCCCTGGGACAGGCTGATGTTGAATGTGTCTTGATATCTTCCCTTTGACTCTTTAACACACCATTCCCAGCCCCGTTTTTTCCCATTACTCAATTTAGCCCAGATCTGCCTGACCACGAGCGCTGCTGGGCTGGCGCCGGGTGTCCAGAGTGGAGGAGAACCTCACGGGAACGTGACAGCAGCGAGATTTCCCACCCAGCATCCTCCTTCCACGTGAGGTCTCCGCATAAATACGAGCCCTACATCTAAAGCAATCATCAGGGAATAAAATCACGGTATTATTTTCTAATGATCATAATTTCTTGCAGATGACATGTTGAGGTGAGTTATGCTCCAAGTCCCCTTGAGGAATCTACTGTACCTGTGGAGGTTTTGCCTTTGGTAATGTTTTTAGGCTTCCTTTTCCTCGTCTGGATGCTCTCCTTTTTCATGGCCAGAGGTCGTGGTACCTTGACATACAGAAAGTTTGGAATTGTTAATATTATATTTTACTTAGCTCCTTCCCGCACATGTGTTGCTCCCCTATTTACGTGCTGTGGCTCATGCAAAGCACCTAAAGTCCTTGTCCTTCACTAACTGCTATTTTTCTCTGCAACAGGCCTTGGCTGGAAGATGTATAAGGCTAAGAGCTAAGGCTTTCCCACAAATTTTGTTTTTTCCTTTATTTCCTATTTTCCTTTTCCTGATTTATTAGTGACCTTTATGACAGGGCCCTATTAAATTACACTGACAGAGCAAAAGCCTACATGGCTCAGAGGGAACGGTCATGGGATAAAGAGACTTTAACCTTTATGGCAGAAGTTTGAAGAGGCCTGTATGGAGGGATGAAGTCTCCTCTTGGGCTGGTGGACATGTTACCAACAGTTCCCATCCGCTGCGGATAAACTTTATCAGCCAGCCTCCATGGGGACTCCTTACCATCCTTCACACATTCTTAATTACCACATCTAGAAGAAGTACGCTCCTTATCTCCAGTCTGGGTTTGGGGAGCTTCGTGCTCCAGCTACCGGAGCCTGGTAAGCTTTCTTTTTGGGGAGTAACTTGGAAAACAACCTAATTAAGAGCCACTTAGTGCCAGAATTCTCTCCTCTATGCAGGTACCTCCTAAAAGTGTTCCAGTACCCCCTTAGCCTTATTCTGGAGAACGTCAGTAGACTGAGCTTTTAACTGTTCAAGGAGACAGGACTGGGTTACGGCTCTTCGGGGTACAGTCTGGAGGTTGGTCCTTCCAGACCCAATATCCTGAACCTGCTAGGTGGTGATCCCGGTGCCCAAAGAGTCCCTCCCGGTGCAGATGCGCTCCTCACCCCGTGGAGCTTCATGTACAACCCGCAGGCGTTGCAGACGGGCTCCCCTTCGGCGTTCCTTCTCCAGAGGGTGGTGTTGGTTGTGTGGCAGTTAGTGCAACATAGGCCAGCACGTCTAGATGAAGACTTCAAAACAAGTAAACACACACATGAATGCACATGTAGGAATGATTAATTGGGAAGTTTCCCTTCATATAAAAATAAAATTTCCAATTACACCGATTTCCTGGAAAATGTGAAACACGCACCATAGCCAAATTCAGACCAAAGAAATTACATTCAAATGAGATCATTCTAATTTGCAAATGCTTTTTTTATTGAGCTTGATAAACCTGACAAATATCCTTGCAGGTCATTTTGCAAACTTCCAACAAATCTGCTGGAAGTGATCAGGACTCAGAGCACAGAGAACTTTCCTCCAGGAGATCCACTCGGATGGAGAGAGAGATGGAAAGTGCCAGCCAGGCTTTACGCGCACAAAGAAAACTCCTCACAACTTCAAGTGAACTCTTCTGTCTTTCTGCACTCAGAACTACCACTAAAGTTAGCAACATCCCAATTAATCTCGTTTAAGACAACTGGAATCAATTGGCTGAACTGAGCAGAACCAAACTGAACTGGCCCATGATGGGACCAGGGAGGTTATTCTTTGCACGTCTCGCAGATGATCTGTTCTCTTACAGGCTGCAGAAACACCGTGAAAGCATTAATTAATGACATATTTTGTAAGTGCCGTGATCGCTGGCTCTGAAACGTTAATACTTCCAAGTGGAGAAGGAAAATATTCTGGCAGAAGCAGCAAACGCGTTTCTGACAACTGTACTCCAAGCCACTGGAAAATTCTATATACAGACTTGTCAGCTCAACAGGCATTTCATCTGAAAGTCTCTTAACACTTGGTACTGAAACTATTTTAACAAAAGACCTCACTAAGTATAAGATGCCAGTGACATAAGTCATCTCACAGGCTCTCCATGTTCAGGTGTTCGAATATGTTCTTCAGCCTTGAGAAAAATCACTTTGATTCCTCTCAAAGGCAGAGGATAGGTGATGCAGGCATTGAAGAACCCCCTGTTTGTTTATTCTTCCGTTATTGCTTGATATCACGACTGAGCAATATGACGAATGAGGTGGGAAGAGCAGGAATAAAAATGAAATGTTTTTACAAGGTTAGCAGTCAAATAAAGATCAGCTTTGAGTTTCAAGAGACGCAAGTGACATGCCCAAGCTTTGATTCGCTCGTTGCTCAGCAAAGAGGTCTCAGCAACTATTTGCAAATAACAGTATTGCTTTGGAAATTATTTAGCCTTCAAGAAATAGCCAGGCAAAACTAATAATACGCTGAGGTGTGAGCTGACAAGCCTGGCACAGAGGAGGGGACAGCAATCCTCGTACCTAATATGGGACACGCTGTCGCAGCAAGATCCCGGAGCAGCCACGAGAGCTTCCTCAAGGCCGGGGCTGTGCCGGTCATCCCTGCAACCAGGAGGGGCCTGAGCCCCGGTGGGAGCAGAGGGAGGTGCCGAGCACCCGACGGGTGCAAGGGCTCTGAGATCCAGCTCCTGCCACGGGTGCAGAGGGGAATTTGGAGGCACTCAGCCCTGGGGTAATTGTGCCCGGTGTGGGCTGGTGAGATCTGTCATCGCCTGCGGATGGAGGAAGGCCAACACAAAGCCCTTTGGAAAGCCCCAAGATTTCTGGGCCATCGCAGGTCCCTGGGAGTGAGCGACACGCTGTCCCTATTTCATATAACACTTTGTCTGTGGCTTGCAGACAAGATGGCAAGAAGACCTGTGGCTCCGGTGGCCCAAGGGTGACGCCAGCCCTGCCAGAGCTCTGCTCATCCTACCAGCACTGCATCGCAACCTGCTCACGGGCCTTCTGCCGGGGCACGTGCCTTCTGCATCTCCTGCACATCACCCTGTGGGCTGCCTCCTCCTCACCCAGCCAGGGAGAGCAGAAACCATCCTCCATGACCAAATATTACAATTTAAACCCCAGAAACCCCACCAGAACCTGGTCCTGCACCACAACCTGCCAGCTTAGCGAGAAAGAGACAGTCAAGGCTACCGTTGCCCACTGAAGGACGAGGGTACAATACGTTATTGCTGGTTTCCCAGCAGTTCCCTCAAAAGAAAATGCATTTCTGCCTGCCTCCACCCGGCTGCCTTTGTACCGTTCTGACCTTGTCTAGGAAGTTGTTGACTTCAACATTGTGCTCCAGCGTTTATTTATACAAATGCAGCATACACTCAAACAAAAACTCTTCACCGACCGGGTTTGACAGCCAAGAGCTGCTGATAAGCTCAAGGAATGGTGAGTTGGTGCCTATGGAATCAACCGTGTGTGAGCGCTGCCTGGAGAGCCCAATAAATTCGGAGCCGGCAGGGCCGATCCTTCCAAGGGAGGCCAAAGCCATCAGAGACTTTGCTGCACCTCCTTTTCAAAGGCGGAAATGAAACCACGGGGTTTCACAGGAAAAAAAAGAAGCCTCTGAACCTCCAGATTTAATCAACGCGTCCCTGTCCCCCTTTGCTGGCAGGACAGCGGGGACCTGGCGGTGGTAGGAAAGAGGTTGCAGCAAAGCGTGCTGAGATACCTGAGCTCAGCTCCCGAAACCGGGCAGATCCCAGGCTCAGAGCCAAAGGCAGAGGTATCCTCGGAGGTTTGCCTTTGTTTCCGTGGCTCTGGGCAAAGCTGCACCTTGGAGGATGAGGGAGCAGCAAGAACTGATGGCCAGGAGAAAGCCAAGGCACACAGCATGAACGCTGCGTGGCTCTAGGTCATATTAGATTGTCCCAGGGCTGTGCTCAGTCCCATCCCCACATTCCCAAAAAGCGTCACCGAACGCACTATGCATTGCAAACCCTAAAAAAAGACAGGCTGAAAAAACACCCCCTGAGCCAAGGCAGCAAACCTCAGCTCCGGGTTAGTCCTTCCGCTCAGGATGGTGTGGGAGCCGCACCGCGCGGCACGGCTCTGCGCCGAACACGGGGGAATGGCACACGCAAAGACGGAGCCATCCACCTCCACCACCGGCTCTGGGATGATAAAAGCCATTTGGTTTTTAGGACTGGGCCTAAGGTATCACCTTGGGAAACGTGCCAAGAAACTTTGGCTAGAAAAGATACTGCCTAAAATAAAGCGCTGCTTCCATCCTGCTCTAAGGCACATCCTTTCTGCCGAAAGCCGCGGCGCTTTGAATCCGGGCACAGGCTGCAGCGAAACGGCTGTCCCTGCTGCGGAGGGGATGGCGCCCTTATCTCAAAAGAAAGAAACAAAAAATGAACTGGAAACTCCACTACTATTACTCGCCCTCTCCCACGCACAAACAAGCTGAGCGCTACCGAGCTGCAGGACGTCATTCCCGCGGTGTTATCTGGGCCACGTTGCGTTCTCTGGGGCTTTCAGCGGGACTTTGCTTTGTGAAAACAGAAGTCCGAATAACTCCCAGCGCAGCCTCTACTTACAGAACAAAGGTCGTAACGTAAAGGACAAAAGCAACCATTTTTCCTCCCTGCGTCTGTATTTCACCCCATTGTGAAACAGCCGATTTCATCCTTCCTGGAGCGATGGTGTGTGACTGCCTTCACCGCTCCGCTCCCCCCCAGTCCGTGTGGGTGATGTTCCGAGTGGGGAAGACATCCCCCGGTGTGGAAACTGCTCGGGGAACATACATGCCAAGCCACAGGGGTGCAGGTCGCTCCCTCGGTGGTGGATGTGCAGAGTGCGCCTGGCCCCCTCTCGCCCATCATCAGTGGATCCCCCTTCCTCCGACGGGGCAGGACTTGTTGCAACATGACGTTTCAAACCCTTGGGAAAACCCAAGATTTTGAAACGTTTCGTTCCAAAGCCAGGATGGAAAGTCAAAATTGCAGCCCCTTTACTAATCCATAAAACAAAACCCCCTCAGGTATTTCAGCCTTACTGAAGCGTTTCCCCTGGATGAGAATCAGCTCTTTCATTTGGGCTTTCTCGTTATTGGATTGATAGCCAAAATAACAATAAAAAAAGGTTGGAAGCGCTTTGATAATTCCCGGCGAGATTTGCTTGTCCCTGGGAAACGGTCTTAATTCTGCGAAGCGGCGTCCTCCACCAGAAAACTTTGCTGAAATATTTGCCGAAAAAATGCCTCCCGGGTGTTGCGTATGGGGCTGCGCCAGCAGGGAGAGAGGCGCAGGCAGGAGCTCGGGGCTCCCCAGCGCTGCCTGCAGCGGGCGGGCAGGGTGCAGGCAAGGCAAGGCAAGGCTGGCCGCCTTCCCACACGCCGAAATAAAACACCGAATAGCAGCGAGACCTCTCCAATTCCTTTGGGGAAAAGCTGTTCAAAAAAACCCAAACCAAACAAAACCAAAAAAAAAACCCCACCCCTGGAAATTTATCCAACGCCACATTTTGACGCCAGTCCAAAATGCGGAGTTGGATTTAAACTGGTTTGCACCGATCTCTCTATGCACGGACCGTATTTGCTCTGAAGAAATCGGCCGTGTAACTCTGAGATTTGCGGCACAGCAGCGACCGGAGCCCACTGCCGCGGTGCACATTTAATGTCTTTACATTAAAGGAGATGAGGAGGGTTTTGGTGAGACAGGCAAATCCTGTCGGATAACGCTAAATGTTTCACAGCAATGCCTCGATTTCCATGCGATGAACAAAACAGGGTGATTTTCCACAGAGCCGCCGCTCAGTTCAGTTTGCAAATCCAGAGCCGCATTTCTGGGATTGGAATCAGAATGAAACATCTTGCTCAATCCCAGCTTTTTTTTTTAATGGTTTTCTTACACAGAAACTTGTCACTCTTGGGTTATTGCTAATAATTTGTTTTGCAATGCAAAAAAAAAAAAATAAATAAATAACTGCGGGAATCCACCCCGAGCGAAAGCAAAAGGAGCTCCCAGCTGCTCCCCAGCACGGCTCCCACAAACATCCTGTTTGTAATGACGGCTTCTGATGACAGGCTCTGAAACCAAAACTGTTACCACCAAATTTAAACATCCCAAAGCGACTCTACAAAACAAAACAAAAAAAAAAAAAACCAAAAAACAGAGGCGCCTTTCCTCTCTCACAGTGGGATCCCAATTGGAAGAAGCCCTATGTCACGTTGCGGCAGGGAATTACTGCTTTAACCTGCAGAGAAACTGGGAGCTACCAAACCCCAAATTCTCCCTTTGGGTAGTGGGGGAACTGGGCCTCATCCTGCTCCCGTGGCGAGCGGCCGCAGACCCACCTGGGCCAGCTCAGGGTCAGCCACATCTCCTGTTCGACTGCCCTGCCTACACCGCGTGTGCCTGCATGAAGAACTAGGAAATAATTATTATTATTATAGAATAAAAAGCAACGTGCCCACTGTGGGAACGGAGCCGGGGGAAGCCCGCAGAGCCCCGGTCCGCAGGAAGGGCTGATCGGCCCCCATTCCCCTCTGCTCTCCGTGCTGCCCACCAGCCGTGCCGGGGCAGCGATCCCTCTGGCTTCACTCCGTTCCTCCTCACCCGAACCGGCTCTGCACCGCGACAAGGGGCCCCTGCCAGTGCCGGTGGCATTTTACGCGTCGGGGAACTGAAGGTCAAATGGGCCCTAACACAAGTACAGAGACCCACACAGCGCAGACACCGCAACAGCCCCCCTGGGTCCTGCCCTCCAGCCACCCCCGGGGTGTTTTGGGGGTTCCCTGTGGGGGTTTCCCCTTCTTACCAGCCTCTTCTGTGGCTTGAGCGGCCGGTTGATGCCATTCATCTTGTGGTAGAGCCCGCAGGCATTGCACAGGTAGTGCCCGGTGCCGTCCTTCCTCCAGAGTGGCGTGGACATGGCCCCGCAGTTGACGCACTCCCGGCCATCCCCGGGGAATTCCTCCAGGTACTCTGGAAGAGAGACCCAAGGTGTGGGGGTCAGGAGCCGTCCCCACCCCACAGGGCCACCCGGAGCCGGGCTGCCCACGGCAACCCTGCGGGAGAGCGTCCCAAATCCTCCGTGCCCCACTACTCCGCTGTGAGGGACAATCCCTGCCTGGGGGGGAGTTTACCTCCACCCTACAAAGTGTGGACCAAAACCCCTTTATTCCCTCCACACCTTAATTTTTTTAATAATTTGCTCAAAACCAGGATATCCCCCATCCCCACCCCAAAAGACCCCAAAGGGCTGAGGACGGCTGAGGGTCTCCCTGGCAGGGGAAGCGGCAGGCAGCCCATCAGCGGGAGAGCGCAGGGTTATCCCTGCAGCGGGCTGCAAAAATAAATTGGGGGGGAGCAGAAGGGGTACAAATTGGGACGATTTCCCTGATTTCCATCAAGGCGCCTCGGTCGCTGGGCGGCGGGGACGGCCCGGCCGGGGAAGGGCTCGGGGCTGCCCACGGGGCTGCGGCTCCGCTCGCCCCGGGGCTCCCCCGGAGGGCATCGCCGGTCGCCCGCGGTCCCAAAGGGCGGTTAGTGAGGCTTTTCCTCGCTTTTCTCGCCCCCCGCCCCAGCGAAAGTCCCGGGAAGAAGCCTCGGAGCTCCGAGCTCCGTCCCCCGGTCCGTCTCTGCCCCGACCGCGGCTCCGCGGCAAACGGGCAGCCCCGGGCAAAACCGAGGGGACACCTCGACCGAGAGTCGGTCTCTTTCCTCCTACCGCTTTTCTCTCTCTTTTTGAACTAAATTCCTCCCCCTGAAATGTTATTTTCTTTCGAAGAAAAATACGGTCTTTTTTTTTTTTTTTTCAAAAAAACTTCGATAATATTAATAACGATCCAACAGAAAGAAAAAAGAAAAAGAACAAAAATTAAAAAGGGAAAAATGGGACATAAAAATAAAATGTATGAAGTTAAAAGAAAGAAAAAAATTGCAATAAATAATTAAATAATAATAATAAAAGAATAGTTTACGCTACTTAAGAGCGGCTTACACTATCCGAGAGCAAAAATAAACGGCAGAGAGGACGGCGGCCACTACTCCGGATCCCAAACCACCGAATTCAAAGCGGAGAACAGATTTCCGCGCCACCACCTCCCTCGGCAGGACCGGGGCGATCCCTTCCCGCACAGCGCGACGGATTTTCCCAGACAAAGAGAAAATCCTGGAAAGAAACGGCTCCCGAGCACCTCCGGCGCGGGAGGAAAAGCCGAGCCGGGGAGGCAGCCCGGGGGGGAGCGGGGCTGCTGCCCCGATTTAACTTTGTGCTTGGGGTAAAGATAAGATAATTCGGTTCACCGCGGTAAAGAAGATAACGCGGTTGAGATCTTGAAGTGGGTTTTAAAGGACTTTGCAAAGCACCGCCGGGGGAGGACGGTGAAATACCCCCGGGGTTATAAATCCCGCGCACGGAGAGTCCTTTTAAATCAAGCCCCGAACTTTATTTGGTTTGAAAGGACTCTCCGGTGTGGATGGAAACGAATTGAAGTGGGGTTTATGGTTCAACGCCTGAGTGCGTTTCAGTGTCTCTCCAAAGGCCGCGGAGCGATGCAGCTGCGGACCTGTTTGGGCGAAGGCGAATTAGGAGACCGAGAGTCTGTTCAAATATAAACTAATTTACCACAATAAATTACTTAAAAGGGAGGGAGCTATAAATCTGCCCCGCTAATTTAAACACAAGGGTAAGTATTGAAGCACAGGCACAAAGTCGATATTGTGGGAAGGAGATATTGTAGGGGGTTGGGGGGGCGAAGGGGTTGAACGGCCTCTGCTCCTCTGTCCTGCGGGGGAATTGCTCTCCTTTGAAACGTGGTCTTTGCCCTTCGCGTTACACACCACACACCCCCCCACACACACACACAGACACCCCACCTCTGTCCAGGGCCGGCCACACACCCCCC